TGAGGTATTTCCCGCCAACAATAGCCATGACTTTCTAGCCCAGCAAATACCCTTTGCTGGCCTTGGTACAYAGTCCATCCCTCCAACCAAAGAGCAACCACATACCTTTAAACAAGTGCCCATGTTCTAAAAGCCAAGAAGTGGGTACCCATTCTTCAGCATCCTTCTGCTTTGTGCCCAAATTTGGGACAAACATCAGCAAGAAGAGGCCATAGAGAAGATTATCACAGAACAAGTAACTCTTGAAACTTGCATCACAGAATCACTGCTGAAAGATAAAGACTTGAGCACAGCAGTTTCTTCCTCTTTGTGGAAAAAGGGCTGTCCTGAAGASCCGTTTCCTTTAGCCTGCCATTTGCTAGCTTTCCTGCAAAAGTWAGAAAAGGAGAGAGACCAGTTAGATCTCTCCATTAGGGATAAATCTAGCAAGCAGAARCATGAGAGGTGCAAGATGCAAGAGCATCACTAGACATCAAATCTCTGAGAGGTGGTATAAAGTTATCACTGTCGATGAGGTGCAAAGCTTCACCATATCCTCAACCTCTATCTGTCACAGTCTCCTTTCATTATATGATCCCCTGAAACTAGCACATTCAAGATGGAACAAAATACATCCTTACCCCCACAGGTTTCATGGAGCAGCTAAGAACCCACATGCTGCTCAAAAAGGAGCATTAAGGATGGAAGCAAGGACAGATAGCCTAGGAGRAATACGGAGAAATTGTCTCAGCAGCCAGGGATCAGGTTAGAAAAGCTAAAGCCCTGATAAAACTAAACCTGGCATAGCATATCAAAGGCACCATCTTTAGAAGAGTTCATGGCTAAGTTGCATGGGGCCTTGAACAACCTGATCTAGTAGAAGGTATCCCTGCCCATGTCAGGGGAGTTGGAATTAGATGACCTTTAAGGYTGCTGCCAGGCCAAACCATTCTATGATCAGATGGCCCTTCAAATCTTCCCACCTAGCAAAATGCTATATACTATTCTCAAACTGATTTTGCCCAGATTATAGCCAAGAAAAAAAAAAAAAAAAAAAAAAGAAAAAGTTTTTCAAAGTTCTTGAACCACAATGCAAACTAGATTTTGGGTTTGGTACTGTTGTTTTAGGCATTCAGGAAACTGATACCCTCATAAGGGATTTCAGTTTCAGCAGCACTATCTACTAAATTACAGTTTACTGTCAGGATTGAGATAAAAAAAATTAATATTTAACAGCAAGGATTGACGCAGCCCACAAAAACCAGGACACATGCCAGAAGAAACGCCACAGAGCCTACACAATCCATATCTACTCATTCAGAGCACATATTACATAATGGAATGAGTATGAAAAGAACAGACCCAGGCTCACCAAGGCAGGTGTCTGTTAAAACAGTCACGGCTTCTGGGGATGTGATGTGCTCCTCCCGCTTGCCATGCCACCACCTCAGCTATCACTTCTTCCTTAGTCACCCCTCATCTGCCTTACTCTTCAGATGGCTCTTATTTCCCTCCACGCCAATAACCATACAGATCTGGCTGCCTTCACACACTTCTACTAATCTTTCTAATGCATATGAAAATCAACCAGTAAGTCTGTGCAGTGCTTTTTGGTTGCACTGCAGAAGCAGCCAGGTTTTCACTGTCTTTTCCTCACCCACATCTCAAGGAAAGTCCCACCCACTCATCTATTTTCCTCTTTCCTCTTCTTTTCCTCACTGCAAAGTGTTGCAGTCCCCAAGGCATAAGTTCTCATTCTCCTCCTAGGTAAAGTGTCAGGTTTCTAAACTCATAAATCTCTGTTTGTTAAGGACCACAGACCTATCAATTTCCTTGGTATTTTAGTTATTTCAAAGTACATATCCAAGATGTGTTACAAATGACTAGTTGAAACTGCTCCAGCTTGGCCTGGCTGTGGAAGGTGTGTGGCTACTCCCCACATAGCTGGGGAATTTCACAGAAACTTATCAATATTTAGGAATCTACAAGATCTTCCTCCACTATCTTCCAGAACCAGTCCCTTCATGTCACAAAAAGAACCATGAACACAAAGCTGTCTCTATGGATTCATCTACTCCWGCTATTTCTGCTTCACTCCACAACTCTTTTCCTTCTGTGAGGCATACCACAGGTCACACAGCCTCTCTCTCAAGCATAAAAAGAGAAAGATCCATCATTTAAACTACAAGGGGTTTTAAGTCAATTTAAACCTGAATCTCTTGATCTGGTTTGCAGAATTTCTGAACTCGCTGGACAGAGGTAATCAGCTATCTCAGGTAATCAGCACAGCAAYTTCTCATTATATTATCCCTACATGATGTGRTAAACAAGGCACCAACTTGGGTGGTCACCGGAGATAAGTGGCTGTTATATAATCAACTTCCTTCTAGCTTACACACTGCCAGCAGCTTTTAAGGGTGCTATTACAGCTGGAATATGTTGAGATGAAGAACCTAGCTGCAAGTAGGTGGTATCCAAGATACGTTGCCACTCACTTCACAGAATGCAGATGTGAATTAAAACAGTATCTGTGCTAAGAACTGCTGGGTAACAATCTGGGAGACAGATCCTAAAAAGCAGCTACCTAAGGTGCCATCCTAACTAGTCTGGAAAAACAAGTGCTGAATTGTCCAGCAAGTCTTGGTAATCTTGGTCCAAGGGCAGAGCAAGCAATGGTCTCCTGCCACCTGCAGGGAAAACAGGGATTTGGAAAGCTTCACCTTGGTTTGTCTCACAGAGAGGTACTGGCATAATCAGGGTAGACAGCCTGGAATCATAAAATAAAATGTAYTGGTGCCATTTCTACTCTCAAATCAGCAAGGAAAGGAAGTACAGTACAKTTAGTTTGTGTAACTGCTGCTGTTGAAGCCAGAGAAACACATTGCAGAGCTCCAGAAGGAAGCACAAGTGCAACCACACATACAAAAGGAACTCTAAGACTGCAAACTGCAATGGCACATTCATATGGCCACAGCTACGAAACCAGCTTGGGGGCATCTATACAGAACGGATGTAATGAGCTCCTAGGAAATCTGCTGTGCCTCTACATTTCATTTGGTGCACTGATAAATTGCCATTCTTCTCCTAACAACAACCTTTGATTTTGTTTTAAAGCCTTTTTGCAGGTTGGTACTATTTCATCCAACCAAGATAAGAGAACCATTTATCTCTGTGCAGAATCTCTCTCAATTCATGTGCACAAATGTCTACCACCATGGCACTCTGTCTCATGCCATGCACAGACGACTGTTCTCTAATGAAAAAGACAGTATGTTCTCACACTAAGCATGCACAAACCAGCAAGCAGAAATACCCATAAGAACCTAACTTTAAAATACACCCACAGGAAACTGAAAAGTCAGCGCAAAAGGAACTAAGCAGGATCCAGTATCAGCTATCAAGGACAAAAGCCACATCAATGGTTAGTGTCTACACAAAACAGTCATTCTCTCATTAGGGATGGAATTCATCAAATGCATTTACATACAAGCCATATAAAACAGTGGCAACAGGAAAACAAAACAAAACAAAAAAAAAAGAGACTTCTGTCAACTGCTTAAGTCGAAGGACTTTTCATTGTAAATGATCCACCACTGCTGTCAGCTCCTCCTGTCCTCCTCAAACACAGCAAGACAGTCAGATGGCAACTCTCAGGACAGTTTCATCTTGACACCAGATCTGCTTCCTGAGCCAGGACAAAATTCARCTCCTTGCCCTGCTGCACATCAGTGGGGAAAGCAGATCAACCCCTTCTTCCTCAATTATTTCCTTTCCCAAACCATTGAGGGTCATTTAAGCAGCATCATGGGAATGTCACTAACTGCATTTCCTCAACCAACAATTAAGCTAGGTATGATCASTCAGGCGGAAAGCTCAGCTGTGGTTTCCCTAACAAACATAGTTTCTCTTTCAGTCTAATTTTCTTCCTCATTGTCAGAGCATCAGTTACATTTCTACTGAAGTCACCACTTCAGGAAAAACTCCTGAGTATTTTCTCATTGGCTGCTTTTTCTGACCAGCATACCAGATAAAACCGGCTGTATTTGGAAGATACCAACAGCTACAAGTTCTCACTAATCCCAGAAGCTTTCATGAGTAAGGCCTTTATCTCTCCCTTCCCTGCACAGGACACGAGAAACCAAGTGCCCCGAACCAGTCCAAGAACTTGGAGAACATTTCCTTTCATACRCAGAAAAGACATTTTGGGTCAGACTACATTATTATGACTGCATAAAGTACAGCTGAAATTATGCTCACTCGCTATGATTTCTGGTCAAAAATATAGGTAAGATCTAAAGATAATAACAACCCACAGCTTTTCATTAAGAAGTTCATGAGCTAGAGCATGGCAAAACCAGCACTACATCGACTCTTTAAAAAGACCAAAAAGTCCAGCAAGCTCAAGCGAGTGGGATGAAGACCTCCGTAACATCCCGGCTTTGCTGAACAGAGAAGARGAGGAAAGAAGGACAAGCGGTGTGCTGCGATTCCCATTTCAGCCCGCAGCAGCGGTGAACTCGGGGCGACGACCAAACCCCACGGCCTTCCCCCAGGCGCCAGCTCGCCCCCACCTACGGACGYGTCCCCGATACCCCCGCATCGCCACGCAGACGGTGAGGCTAAGCCCAAGCGAAAAGCCGGAGGCCGCCGTCGGGCAGGCAGAGCCGGCTCTTCCCGCTCGCCGGGAGCCCCGGCCCCTCCCGCCCCCGCCGCGGCCCTTCCGGAGCGAGCCCCGCGGCCGGCAGTGCGGGGACCCTGCCGCGGCTGTGCCAGGCCCACCGCGGGGGCTCCCGGCCGGCAGCGAGGCCGTCACCCGGGGGGCGCCCGTCTCGGCGGGGCGACCCGGCTGCGCCTGCAGCTCCCTCGCCCCGGGAGCCCGTTCCCCGTGCCAGGGGCCGAGGTGCTGAGGAGGGAAACGCCACTACCGCTGTTACCGTGGACTCCGACGGCGGCCACAAGCTCGCTCCCGCTGGCCCGCGCTGCCGCTGCACGGCGCTGGCAGCCGGAGGTGACGCGCTCCCGGGGCGGGGCGCAGTGACGCACCAAGGGACACCGGCGGCGGCGGCGGCGGCAGGAGCGGCAGGATCAGCATGGTGAGCCGGGAGCGGGCCGGGAGAGGGGGGCTGGCTGGGATCGGGTCTCTCCTCAGCTCATCGCGGCTGTGTGTCCGTGTGCTTGCAGGGGAAGCAGAAGAAGGCGCGGAAGTACGCGGTCATGAAGCGCATGATCAGCCTCCGGGATGAGCGCCTGTAAGTGTGGCTGCGCTGGGCCCGGTCCCGCGCGGGGCCCTGCAGCGTCCTCATGGCCCTCTTGAGAGAGGCGGGAGGAGGTTCCGGCCCAGGGCTCTCCGCCGCTGGCAGCCCGTGCTTATCGCTTGGCTTCACTAGTGCCTGTGTTTCWTTGCAGTAAAGAAAAGGACCGGGCAAAAGCAAAAGTGAAGAAGAAAGAGGACCCGAGCGCTATTAAAGAGCGGGAGGTGTAAGTGCTGCCGACGCTGTGGCGGGGGAGAGAAGAAAGCGGGGAGGGAGGGCCGGCCACGCTGCAGGGTGGAATTGAAGGAACTGAAGGTGCTTCTGAGCAAATYTCAGAGTAAGAAGTTGTGTCCCAAACCGAAGGATTGTGCTGGGGAGGCAGCAGRAGACCTGATGGGTCTTTCTGCTCATTATCCCCTATCGCTCTCTACAACTTTCTGAAAGGTGGTTGTAGACAGGTGGAGTTTGGTCTCTTTCTCCAGGCAACAACTGGCAGAACGAGAAGACATATTCTCAAGCTGTGCCAAGGGAGGTATAGATTGGMTATTAGAAAAAAGTGATAAAGCATTGGAATGCGCTGCCCAGGGAGATTGTGGAGTCACCATCCCTGGATGTGTTTAAAAAGAGATTGGATGTGTCACTTGGTGCCATGGTTTAGTTGAGGTGCTAGGGCATGGGTTGGACTTGAGGATCCTGAAGGTCTCTTCCAACCCTAGGCAGGGTTCTGTGATTCTGTGATTCATTCTGTGCAAGTTGTAGGATTGGACATGATGTTAAATGCAAGTAACTGATATGAATTCTTTGTCTTCCTGTCAGCCCCCAGCATCCTTCTTGCCTGTTCTTCCAGTATAATACACAGCTAGGCCCCCCTTACCATATCCTGGTTGACACTAACTTCATCAACTTCTCCATCAAGGCCAAACTGGACCTAGTGCAGTCGATGATGGATTGTCTCTATGCTAAGTGTGAGTGTCTGCACCAGCTTCTTCTGACCACATAGTGCCACAATGTGCTTGTAATGTGTTTTGTCAACCTCATGCCACTGGCTGAGAATAACAAATCTTGAAAAAAGAATATGTGCTATAGTCATGGAGCTATGGTAACCCTGGCAATGTCTCTTGTTTCAGTCAAGTAATGGTTTTAAATGCTAATCTCAGTGAAGGTAGAGTGCTAGTAATTTAAAAATCTAAAATTACCATGGCATGGCTAAACTCAGAGGTTCTACATTTCAGTATCTTGCAACATCATCAGTTGTCACTGTAAGTAATATGTTATAGAGCTCCATGATGTTTCCAGGACATGTGGGCAGTATGGAGRGGTCTAGGAATAAATACTACTTTGTTTTCATACAGGCTTTTTTTTGCATTTAGGTATTCCATGTATCACAGATTGTGTAATGGGTGAAATTGAGAAGTTAGGACAGAAGTACCGTGTGGCATTAAGGTAGGTGTTCTTCTCCATTTCTAGAACTTAATGCTTTACTATAAATAAATGAAAAAAACTTGCTTTGACCGGTGTTCTTGCACTTGAAAATGGTTAGGCAGTTGCAGAGTCCTGAACTTGGTATTATTTCTCTGGCTCTATGAGATCAGTACAATGACTACAGTTTTAGAAATTAAATGCTAGGCATGCATTCACAATATTGATCTGTAAATCTTGCACCTCCTCAGACTTTGAAAATAATGCTTTTTCCTCTTTCTCAAAAAATATTTTTTAAATTATAGAATTTCTAAAAATTAATAAAGAAGTGACCAAGGTCTTACAGACCTTTTCAGTCATACTTTGTGTTATTCCTGTATGAGTAGGTACCACATACTGATAATCTAGAGCCAGATTATTGTGTGATCTGTACAAAACTAGTCCAGTGTAGTTCATGCTCTCCACTCAAATGTATTCTTTATTTTTTATTTTGGTCTGCTGTATTGTAAAGTATATAAGGGCAAACTCTAAGCAATTTTGATTGCTCTTCAGAGAGGAGTTGAAGTGTCCCTTTTGCATAGTACAGATGATCACATACCAAAAGTTCCTGTTTTTTCCACAGATAACTTATTTCAAATTACTTTGTTTGGCAATAGCCTGACATTGTACAGATTTTGAATCCAACAAACCAGTACTAAGAAATACTTAACCTATAATAACTAGACAAATTGCATTCTTTTTTTGCAAGWCATTTCAGCTCACTTTTGTCTACCATTTACTCCATCCCTTCAGACCTTGTTTTGAGAATAATGTTCTGCATATCACAGAATGGGGTGTTCTTGTTCCTCCATACTGTGTTACTGTACTCTGGTCTGATTGCTGTGATGCTGCTTTTTATATCCCCACAGAATTGCCAAGGATCCTCGGTTTGAACGCTTGCCGTGTATGCACAAAGGAACCTACGCTGATGACTGCTTGGTGCAGAGGGTCACTCAGGTATTACCCTTTCTGACATTTTCTCTACTGTGCTAACATACTAAAAATTCCTGAACTCTCCTAATTACTGATTGACTTAAATTTCCCACAAAGTAACCATAAAATCTCACTAAGGGACAGTTTCAGTCCCTAGAACAACTTTATTTGATACAAGATACTGTCTTCCCTGAACATTGCTGTTGTATGGGACAGCATCAAGAAGCATGTAGGATGGGAAAGCTGTCAGCTTGAAAAGCTGGACAGAACTTCCAGAGACTTCTTGAGTCTATTGGACGAAGATAAGGATGTTACTAGTCTGCTGTGGAATTCTGTACAAGTCCTGATAATGCCTTGCTAAGGATGGTTAGCCTTRTGTTCAATGACCTCCCTGAACAGGAACGTTTAGTCAGCCATGACTCCTTTCTATGGGTTCGCTGGTGTTGAATCTGACTTGCAGTCTCTTTTTGCAGCACAAATGTTACATTGTGGCCACAGTGGATAAAGAGCTCAAGCGGAGAATACGAAAAATCCCTGGAGTGCCTATAATGTATATTTCCAGGCACAGGTAAGGACCTCCTGACAGRAAGGAACCCAGTCCAGAGCAATCCTTATCTGACAGGGACTCTGTCACCACATATTTCTCTCCTTCATTGTGTGTAGTGCAGGCTGCAGTAAAGAGCCTGTTGTTCGCACAGAAGTTAAACTACGGCTACTGCTGAGAAGAGATTGGTCACAGACTCGCTTTTATTGCAATCTACAYGTTCATTTGTCTTAACCTGGAATAGTTTCCTTAAGGCCAGTGTTTGCATAGATCAGTTTTGCTTAGCAGCAGCAGCAGCAGGACTACCAGGCAAATGCATTCTACAGGTTCTTGAGGAAAAGAACCTTTCTTGTTCCATATTCTATTTGGTAGCTTTGTGTATCCTCAGCTAAGAGATTGAATTTGCTTCTTAGCTAAAAACCAAAACAACTCTGAAGGATACTAGTGTAGTATGTTGGAAATGAGGAGCTTGATTGCTATAAATATGTAAAGTTTTAACTGATCTGTAACTGGAATGTGACTCAAAAGAGTTTTCTCTCAAAACACCTTTACCCCTTACTCACTCTGGCCATGAGCTTTTGGAACGGGCTGCCAAGGTGATGGAGTCCCATCCCCGGGGCTGTTAAAGAAACAAACATGGGACAAGGTGGTATTCAGTCCGAGGCTGGACTCCATGATTTTGGAGGTCTTTTTCAACCTAAATAATTCTGTGAATTATAAGTTGAATTCCTAAAGTTTTATCCTCTGTGGTGATCTACTCTTAGATCCTAAATCAGATCTTACAAAGCCACAGGGTTTTTTTCCTTCTCTTGAGATGGTGAGTTTTTGAGATGGCTAATTGCTGAGTTTAAGATGAAGAATAACAGCAACCTTATGAAGACTTTTTATTTTAGAAGCAATATTTTTCTTACTGGGGATCTGAGCTGCAGATAGAAATGCAACAAAGCTTTTTGCTGTTCAGTTTGCCTGTAAGCCCGTTGCTGCATGGGTGTCATGAATGAGTGCTTTAGTGCACTTAAAGAATCACTGGAAAARACACACTATTAAAAGCAGGTTTGAATGTAATTTGGAGCAATGTGACTTAACAGAGTTCAATGGCAAGGTTCATTCTTTTACTACATGGATGAAACATACAAAGGAGAATTGACTTATAAACACTTTAGAATGGTTTGCACAGAGAACAGGATTGCAAAGRAAGACACTCCCATTGAGTCACAAGGTTCAGAAAGGATCTTCTTGCTTTCCAAACTCCTGATGGAGTCCGGGTGCAGCTGCATACAGTCTTAGTCCCAGACCTGGTCAACAGTGTCTATCTTAATTGGATTTTCAGGCGTTCTGCTCAGGGAGAGATGCTGGTGCAGCCCACAGCAGTCCAGAAAAGCTCYAAGGGCCTCACTTAAGACCACTGCTAATAGCATCACAAGATGATTACTTTTTCTCATGCATAAATTTTACATTTTGGCCATAATCCAGATTGGTAACTACTATAGTTTCCAAAACTGGTAACAATGGTACTGTTTCACTCAGGCCACAACTCAGATAGGATTGTCAAGGGATGGCTGACAATTCATCCTTCACCGTAGCCAGGCAACAGGAGTTCCCAGTGCAGTCAGTGGTGTTCTCACCTTAGTCATGCAAGGCTTCCTGGTATGGTCAAGGGTCRCTTCACCACCCAACTCTACACAAAGGCCAAGGCCTAGCAGGAATCCCTGAGATGGTAGAGTGGCCCTGARGAGGAGGAGGAGGTGGGTGTAGAATGCACCACCACAGTGGGGAGTGCAGCAGTGTGGAGTACGTTGTCTTCATAAGTTTTTCTTCTTTCTCAGATACAATATTGAGAGGATGCCAGATGATTAYGGAGCTCCCCGATTCTAACCTGTCAAGTCATCTATGCCAGGACTGTGAGCCAGGATAAGGGTCCTTCTGATTCCAGCCTTCCTGCTTTCTTCTTTTGTTGGAACTCTGCTCATAGGACTGTGGATAACACCAAACTGACATTTTAACCTTGATTTGCTAAGAAAAAGCTATTTTGAAGAATCTGGTATTATTCATCCATCTTCTGCCTTGGTCTGATTAAGTACAGCTGGGAGAAGCATATGGGAAACAGAGGATGGCAGTGTCCAAAATGTGTCTAGCTCTACATTGGGACCATTGGAAAAAGTGATATCACCATTCTGAATTAAATATTGATGATGCAATTCTGGCTGAGAATGAAACCAGATGAGATTTTTCAAGTTTCTTACTGGTGCACCTGCAGTGGGACAGGTATTCCTYTGGGAAGCTGACTCACACCTGTTTACTCAAACATCAGAATCTTCATTCTGGACAAGAGACACAGTTGGTGGCCATCTCTGGAACAGCAGTCCAGATTTTAATTTGGAACTGATGGGTTTTTATTCAACTGCACAATGAATGAAGTTTGGTTAAGTGTCTTGCTCAGACTGCTATTTCTGTACTGGATTAGCTGGCAGCCCAGTCCTTTTGCTTACATTTAGAGGTGGTGGAGGGCAGGGCAAGGTTGGGTYGGGACAGGTCTCTCCCTTGTGTTTGTTTGGGTGCCATGCACCTCAAAGCCTTACCACTCTTGTTACATATCAGGGACAAAAAGGGAAGTGTCTTAACAGGCAAAGGTATTAATGTGGGCTGGGAGGACAGTCATTGTGGGAATAAAGCAATGGTTGCAGATAAGAGTCTTCCAGAGACCTGCAGAATTTGCTGCAGGGAAGGAATTGGTTAGAAGAGGGAGGGAAAAGAAATGGTTAGCCACATGAAGAAATGCAGGGGGGAAAGTATTTCAAAACCATAACTCTGCATTCTCATATCTTCTCCATTATTCCTTCTTTTTTAGCAATGTAATTAGCTCTTACGATCTCTGTTGTGTGGTGAGGAGAGGGTCACCAGGAGCCAACATGCCAAAGCACACTTCGTGGCCAAAATGGTGTAGTACAGGAGAACACTGAAAATTTATACTGTTAGTATGAGAACATTTCCAAACCTTAATAGAGCTATATTCTGTAGTCCTTTACAATGGTTTGGCTGCAGACGTGGCCACAAAAGCCAAAGAGCATTCTTGCCTGTATCAGAAATAGTGTGGCCAACAGGACTAGAGAAGTGATCCTCCCCCGTTCTCGGCCTGGTGAGGTCACATCTTGAGTCCTGTGTTCAGTTCTCATCAGGGCCTCTCATGACATGAAAAGACATTAAGATCCTGGAACATGTCCAGAGAAGAGCAGYGGAGCTGTGGAAGGGTCTGGAGCACAAATCTGATGAGGAGCAGCTGAGGGAGCTGGGGTTGTTTAGTCTGGAGAAAAGAAGGCTCAGGGGAGACCTTACCACTCTCTGCAACTACCTGAAAGGAGGTTGTAGCCAGGTGGGCATCAGTGTGTTCTCCCACATAACTGGTAACAGGATGAGAGGAAATGGCCTCAAGTTGTGCCAGGGGATATTGGGGAAAATTTCCTCACTGAAAGGGTGCTGCCCAGGGACATGGTGGAATCACTGTCCCTGGAAGTGTTAAAAAATAGATGAATGTGGTACTTAGAGACATGGTTTAGTGGGAGATCTGGCAGTACAGTGTTAATGGTTGGACTCGATGACCTTAGAGGTCTTTTCCAACCTTAATGATTCTATAACATGTATGTATGCTCTRTGCTGGACAGCATGCAGTGAAGATAATTTCTTGCCCTTGGGAAAAATTCCAACATCCTAGTAACTTCCTTGATAGCACCATACCTCTACAGATACTGCASAAAACTTCGGGAACACATCAGACCTACCTCTCATGCTGTCTCTTCACTTGTTGCAGGCTCACCTATTAAACATCCCTGAAATAACAGCATACTAACACTTTGAAAACTTAGCCCCTTCCAGCCTATCACTATTGAAGTTTATTTTTCCACTTCCAGCCAGGAAGAAAATTGCCCACAATGCAGAGATTTTACAGTTAGTGCATAATATATATGTTTCAAAAATACTATCCTTAGTTTTTTTCTCGCAATCCAATCCACATTTTTTAAGATAAATGATCAAGTATTGTCATGAACACTTGAAGCCCATGTTTAGTCAAGTGAGGATTGAGAAAGTTKTAGGATTCTGTAACTTCATAATAATTCTAGTTTTGAATGACTTCTTTGAGTCAATAGTTAACTGGAATTGTTCCAGTACAAATAACTTCACTTGAATTAACCTAAATGGAAGAAGACTGGCAAAGAAAGGAATGGACATTTATGATAACATTTGATAAAGATTTTTATCTTTAAAAAGTGCAGAAGAGGTCAAAGGCACAGCGCCTCATGAATTTGGGGAACATACCTGCCAGCAGAATACCTTTTGCAGAGACTTTATGAAAATATATGTATGTATCATGAAGTGTGAGCAGGAATCAAAGTAAATGTGTGCATTTAACTGAAATCTTTTATTCCTTTTACTCTGCCTTSTTTTAGCAAAAGGAGGAGGAATCTGAAATAGGTATAAGGCCATTGCTAAAGATGTATTAGGAGGCTGGGAGGCTGAGCAGCACAAAATATTGGCAGTGAGCAAACCTGKCAGGAAATTTTCATTAATTGAGTATAGTTGATAAGACAGAAAACATGGCTATTTGACCCTTGGCTCAAAGAGCTTGGTCAGAAGATAAATAGGACAGGAGAGGACTACCTAGCTTCTACAGTGCCAGGGAACCTGTGTACCAAACACTTCGTTCAGAGGAAAATATTTACTCCATGCACACAATGGCATCCCAGCATCTGATCYAAATTATACTATGTCAGATGAGGAAAGATCATTGTCAGAGGAAGGAGTTGGGCAAGGTAGAACATTTTGATGTTCCCACAAGCAAAACACTGTCAGTCCAAACCAAAAGAGAAATTCCTTCCTGATTCAGCTCTAGCAGTGGGTTTAAACCTGCACAAGATTAGATATCAAACAGATGCTTGCAGTGTTTCTTAGTAACTGGAGAACTCAGCCTCCCCGTTAACATCCTGTCTCTTGCTGTAGCCAGTTTCCATAGCTTCAGAAGACAGAACGTTCAGGAAAACCACATATAGAAAGTGAATATATGCAAAGAATGGTAGAAAATAATTTCTGTTCCTTTCTTGAGCCACCAGAAGTTTTAAGATTACTACAGCTTTACCAGATGAAGACATTTAAGCTGCCAATCCAAGATGGACACTAGTTAATTGGGGAATAACTGAAATTTGATAGTGTTTAGAAGCAGGAAGAACGAGCTATTTTAAAGAATGAACCAAGACCAACATGATGGYACTCTTTAATGTTACATACTGAATAGAATAAAAGAATAAAAATAACATATTCTGAAGAATAAGAGGGCATAATGTGAACTTAACRGGGTTGCTTTAGGACAAGGTAACAAGGGTAAAGCTAGTGTATCTTGTCTGGTGGGAGTCAACTGTACTGCAACCCAAACTAGATTTGAAAATTGGAAAAGCATCGGTCAAGTTATTTGGAAGTTACATTTTGGCTTCCACAATATAGGCTGGAAAACAATTGCCCCTGAAAGTGTTTATCTATTCCTTCCTCAGGGAAGTAGCAARTCTCTTGACAATATTGAGTAACCACAACAAACAGCAAGAATAGTGGGAGAGACCTGCCTGCAGGAAATAACGATTAACTGATCACAAGAAAACTCACTTGGAGTAAATAGATCAGGAGCATAAATTAAAGGATGTTTGCAACACGAGTTCCCTATTTGGGAAGGACAGACTTTCAAAAGTCTAGTGAGTAAACTGGCCCGTAGAACTCAGGCATATAAGTGCTAAGTACCAGTACAATGAGCAGGAGATGGGGGTTAAAATCACGAATGCTTTCTGAAAGTCATTCACTGCAAGAGAAATCTAAACAGATCATGCTAAACAGAAAAGGATCAATAGCTGCTTATAGATGAAAAGAACGAAACTAAAGAATAGAAAAGGCAGTTCTRTAAGTATTAAGATAGTTTTCCTAAAGATTTGCATCTCATTTGAATTCACAATCAAATATTTTCTTGTAAATTCAGGGTGTATGTCCTCTGTGGATTTCCTGAAATTAAACAAGAAATAAATAAAAAGTCCAGCTTTTCCACAGGAGAGGACAAAACTTTTTCTCTACCTAATAATGAGGTTTTCTTGATATTTCTCCTGACTGAAAAGTCTTAGGACTTCTCCTCCACACCTGCCTTTCCCCACTGCCAGGGATTCTTGATTCAACAGGCATGAAATAGAGATTGAACATGACAAAAATTGCTMAGGTTTTCTGAGAAGGAGAGCAAGCAGTGACACACTACAGTGCTGGTGCGCTGCTGACCCAATGCCACCAGCCTTCACTGTCCAGCTACTTGAATTCACACACCCACGTGCTTCTTCCTTACCACGGCAGTTCAGCACTTGGCATTAATCATTGCTAACTGGCTACAGAATATATTTGTATGTTTAACTCATACTTGAGTGTGGGAAGAGAGAAAGGAAAAAAAATCTTTTCTTCCCCTCAAGTGCAGTCGCTTCGGAAATGTATGAAACTATTTCATATGTCCACTGCTTCATTTTTGTATCTCAAGTTTATTCACCGGCATATTCCCTGGAAACACGATCATTCATGGTATTCTAGGGATGGATCAGCGGAGATGGATCGCATCGCAGGGTTCCCGTCCCCACGCAGGGGCTGCATAACCATTTWGCCTTTGAGCGCCTTTCCCGGACCAGGTTCACCGGGACCTGTGGCCGTGTTATGTCATACTTCAACCGCTACAACTGATCGCCTCTGCCCTCGCTCCTCCGGTGACCGGCCCCGGGTTTGCCGTGGGTGCAGAGGCACAGCGACACCGCCAGTGAGCCACAGCCGCTGCTGGCTGCGGGGACAGGCAACAGGAACACGGCCGCCCCGGGGTGACCCAGAGCACCGGCGCCACCGCCCCAGGGACACCATGGCRCGTGGGAGCGCCGGGCTCGCCATACACAGCCTAGCTTGTGCTACACACAGCGGAGGCCTTCGCGTCGGGCTCCCCTCTGTCGCCTGCCCCGTCCCGTCCCTTGTCCCGGGCGGGCCGTGGTGCTCCGGGCTCRCCTCCGCCCTCGGCCCGGCGCTGGAGGCAGATGCCCGCCAGGCGGCGCTGCCGGCGCGGCAATCCGCCCAGCGAGGCGCTCTGGCGCGACGCTCGCGCTCGACTGCCCTGCGGGCCGGGGCCTCCCCGCGCAGGCGCTGTGCGCCGCCCGCCGCCGCCGCCGCG